CATTTGGAGAAGAAATCATTCTATGACAAAAGAAGAAAAGAAACATAACAAATCAGATTTCTGTTATCAATTTACAAGGGAGAAAATTGGTATGTCTGCAAAGTGCGAGGTTAAATAGGTTAAACGAAAAGGATATGCACAGCTTACTACTTACCATAAGGTCTAAATATTAATATTTGTTGCTATTGTGAAATCTATATATACAGGTAAAGAGCTGGAAGTCTAATTTGAATAAATTAAAAAAATTAGTTAAATTATTTATTTGTAATAAATATGTGTTTTTTTTTTTTAAATATCTTACTAATAGTCATGTGTATTAGTTAAAATTATCAACTACTACAAAGATTATCTTGAAAAAAAATAGATAAATATGAGAGATAAAATGAATTAGAGTCTTATATTTGAAATAAAATGTCAAATTAGCTTTTATATTAAAGACGAAAGGCAGTATAGGTCTTTGTAGCAGTTTATAATTCTGGATATGAAACATAACAAAACAGCCATAATAGCTGCATCCCAACATATGTGATGTAAAACAAGAAGAGAATGGGAAGAGAGAAGCAATGGCAAAGATTAAAATAGTGAGCGAATGTTATTTTTTCTCATGTTTAGAGGCACAGAAGAAGTGAAAAAAAATGATTTTATAATGACAATTATTAGAATCTTATATTTATTACAAATAACTAACTTAAATTCTTTCCTTAATCTCCTTAAATTAGTCAATTAGCTCTTATAATTAGGACCGGAGGCAGTACTAATATAAAAAGAGACAATTTTGGTTCTCTCCAAAATCTAGAGAAAATTTGGGGAAACAAATATGAGCCATATGTGCTTTTTTTTTTAAAAAAAAAAAGCAAAAAGACTTCATTTTATTAATCACCGAAAAAAGTATTTATGCTGTAATAGGAAATTTATATAACTTCACAGAAGTAAAAGATTACCAAATCATCGGTCATTAGAAATTTAGAAGGATATGTCATATATTTAAAAAAGAGTACTGTTATTATTTTTCATCAGATTCAAACAAATAACATTTTTATAATGACATAATCATATTTATAAATGACGAAAATATGACTTTATATAAAATTTATCCATTCTATTTATAACTTTTTTTTCATTCTTTTGGTATATAATAAACAATTATTTTATTATTACAATATCCAAATTTCGGTTTTGTAAATTAGTCATTCTTGGTCCTCCAATCAATCAGGCTGAGCCACTCAATCTTATTAATTTGAAAGAAGGATAGGGCATATATATAGAATAGATTTAGATAATCTCCCTCATCTAAATAAGTCAGATTTATTTGAATAATGAATTCCCCCTATTTATGAATTTCTTTTGGAAATGACATCATATATTTTTTCATAGGCACAGCAACATATATATCTTTTTATTAAAGACATTTATATTTAAGACATTATTTGGCATTAAATATGTGTATCTTTTTTATGTAAAATTTAAATCTTAGTTCGTCACATTATGTGAGACTACTAAACCTTTTCGTTAGACTTGATATTAATTATTTAAACTCACACTATGCTACAATTTAAATAGGTTGCCCACATAACCAAATGAAATTACCAAACTTTACCAATAAAGCCCCTCACAATGCAAAGATGAGTTTGCCTCTTACGCTGTGTTTGGCTCGACGGAAGGAAGGGTAGCTACAAAGGAGAGGGGAGGGGAGGGATTTTAATGATCTCCTGTTTGGATTGATTGGAGGGGAGGGGAGGGAGCAATTTTAATAATACCTTATTTTGTTCTAATAAAAAATTGACTATTTTAACTCATAAAATTTAAATGAATTTTCTCACTTTTTTATTTTGTTAAGATATAACTATATATATAATACAATTCACCAATTTTGATTTACAAGACACAGTCACACACTTATAGAATATCAAGATAAAAAGTCACGAGTGATAGATTTCAATCAGAGAAAAGACTTTGAAGGTGAAAGAAAATACCAACGACATCTTAGAATTAGAAGAAGAGGGAAAAAAAGTTTACAAATGCTCACTAATTTTGGAGACAATTATCTTAATAACCTCTTGTTAGATACTCAAAAGAACTCTCTTATATAGAAATGTTTGCGACTGATTAGATGTTAACAAATCGAAAAGGTATATAAAGAATTAAAATATTATCTCTCACCTCCCCTCCAAAAAAACCCCACTTTTGGAGGGGAGGTTAGAAGGGAAAGGGAGGGGCTCCCCTCTCCTCCTAAAAAAATTACACTAGCCAAACAAGGGGAGGGGAGCAACTTCCCTCCTCTCCCCTCTGAAAATCCCGTACCAAACATAGTGTTAAGTAGGATGTCCTAGTTTGGAACTAGGCCATGTATATGGAAAATTTTTTACTGGGAGAGACAAAACCTATTCTCGCTTAGAACTACATTTTTATTTCTAAACATGCCCTTATATATTAATTAATAAATGAGAAAAAAAAATATGCGTATAGATATTCGGGAAAATGACACATAAAGAAGCTTGAAAATGTGAAATGCCAATTTGGAAAGCTAAGAAAATGTAATGACAGATTGACAGAGAGGGAAGTCCTTCTTAAATTGAAAATTGAAAATTTAGTAAAATGACAAAAATACCCTTTGTTTTTTAAAAAAAAAAACTCAACCCCTCACAAGGGGTCGGCAGCTGGCAGCCACAGCCAGCCACTGGTGAAGTTTTTTTTGTCACAATATATATATTTTTGCATGGGAGAATATGGTTCAAAGTAGGGGCGTTCAAGGCCGGCCCGTCCCGTTGGTCCATTCCGGTCCCGATCTTATTGGGACAGGACGGATCCGTCCCGAAATTTTTCGGGACGGGACAAAAAAGTGACCGGGATGGGACGGGACACGGGACACGGGACGGGGTCGTCCCGTCCCGGTCTCGTCCCAGTTCCTTTTTTTTTTATTTAATTTTTTAAAATTTTTTATCCTATTTATATAATATCATTTTTTTTCATATTTTTTTAAGATTTGAGACTATTGTATGGAACTATGGATATATTTATTTAGAGTTTTTATATTTGTTAATGATTTGAGATTATTGATGATTAGAATTTTTAGCAAGTTTTTATTGTGTTAAAAGCTTTTGTTTAGAGTTTTTAATGACTATTATATGTAATATTTTGAGCTTTTATTTAAGAGTGCCCAAACAAATAAATAAAAAAATAAAAAGATGTTTTTATAAGGTTTAACTCCAAAAAAATATAATTAAAAAAATCAGATTTTTAAAAAAAATTAAAAAAAATTTTTTAAAAAAACTTCGGGATGTCCCGGTCCCGTCCCATCTCGACCGAGACTGGGACAATCCTAGGACGGGCCGGGACACGGGACAGATTTTCTTTCCCATTACTGTTCATTGGGATGGAACCGGGACGGGCCTATTCTGGTCCCAATCTGTCCCATGAACAGCCTTAGTTCAAAGTGGCAGGGGTGGGATTTGATTCCACAACCCCTTGGCCATTTGGGCCAACAAAAAGAAAGATGACTATTGGGTCATCAAAAATTTTTTAACCTTATAATGCAAACAAAAATATAAGTTGACTTTTTTACTGTGACTTCAGCTTATGACAACAATTTACCTGAGGATGACAAGTCGTAATTAAGAAATAACAAGTCTAAATTTGATATTAACAAAGCAACTTTTCCTGATACATAACAAGAAGTAACATGTACATTAATTAAAAATAACCATAATTTATTTGAAAATGACACGTCTTTACTGGAAAATGACAAGTCTAAACTTGAGATTAACAATGTGTCTTTTCCTGATACATAATAAGAAATAACATGTACATTAATTAAAAATGATCATAATTTATTTGAAAAGGACACGTCTTTATTGGAAAACGATAAGTCTAAACTTGATATTAACAAAGCAACTTTTCTTGATACATAACAAGAAATAACATGCACATTTCCAAATAAATTGTTGTTATTTTCCACTAAAGACATGTCATTTTCAAATAAATTATAGTCTTTTTTTTTGGTAAAAAATTATAGTCATTTTTAATTAATGTACATACTATTTCTTATTATGTATCAGGAAAAGACACATTGTTAATTTCAAGTTTAAACTTGTTGTTTTTTTAATAAAGACGTGTTATTTTCAAATAAATTATGGTTATTTTTAATTAATATACATGTTACTTTTTATTATGTATCAGGAAAAGTTGATTTGTTAATATCAAATTTAGACTTGTTATTTTTCAATTAAGACTTGTTATCCTCAAGTAAATTGTTGTCACGGACTGAAGTCACAGTAAAAGACTTAACTTATATTTTTGCTTGCATTATAAAGTTAAGAACTTTTTGATGTTTCAATGGTTATCTTCTCTTTTGTTGGCCCAAATGGCTAAAGAGTTGTGGGATCAAATCCCACCCCTCCACTTTGAACCATATTCTCCCATATATATTGTGATGAAAAAATTTCACCAGCATTCACCACACCGGTGGCCGGCGGCCATTCGTAGGCAGTGGTTGCCAGCCACCGGTGAGGGACTGAGGTTTTTTTTAAAAAAACAAAGAGTATTTTTGTCATTTTACTGAATTTTAAAATTCTAATTTGGAAAGGACTATCTTTTCTGTCATTATATTTTCTTAACTTTTCAAATTGGCATTTCACATTTTCAAGCTTTTTTATGTATCATTTTTTCTAGATATTCTCTTATCAGAAGCAATTGTTTTTTCAAATTAAAACTAGAGGGTGCTTTTTTGGGGTGAACGGAGGGTACTTTTTGCTCACATGATTTTCGGCGCAAATCCCAAATTTGTTTATATTTTAAAATCTCAATATCTTCTCTTCCGATGTCCAAATCGAATCGAGCCAATCAATAGTCCAAAATAAAAAACAAATGCAGAAATATCAACTTTTGGATTTCAAAATAAAATAATGAAAATCTTCTCGAGCTACGGCCGCTGCCATAACTCGCCTTCTTCCTTGATTTCCCGGCCACCTTCACAAGCCCCTCCCCAACCCCCTCAGGAAACCATGGAGAAGCTTGCTGAAGATTTGAGAATGGAAATCCTTCTTCGCTTGCCTGACTTTAAATCTATCCTGCGTTGCAAGTGTTTATCCAAGTCATGGTACTCATTGATCTCTAGCCCTAAATTCACCGATCTGCATTTTCAGCGATCTTCTTCCCAACACGCCCATCGATTCCTTTACACAAATCCTCCAGAACGAATAAGGTCCATAGATATCAATGCCTCATTCAATGATCATTCTGCTACTATCGAGCTTGATTTCCCCCTTATCAAACCATACACTGATATTAACATCATTACTTCTTGCAGAGGCTTTCTGCTCCTCATGCTCGTCAAAGACCAACTTCTTTTTCTATGGAATCCCACTACAGGTCTCCACAAGCAGATCTCAAATCCTCCGCTTCCATGGGTACCTACAATTTCGTATGGCTTTTGTTATGATGAATCCGTTGATGATTACTTAGTGGTCGCATTTAACTTCAATGATCCATCTTGGTTGGAAAGCTTTGTGATCTTCTCTCTAAGAACCAATTCATGGCAAAAACTTACTATCAGTGATAGTTACCAACTTCCCAAGATAACAATCCCTTTCCCAGTTAAATCTGGTTCTTTCCTGAACGGCTCAATTCATTGGTTAATCTCGTGTTGTGATCCACCCCAGGTAGAAGCAAAGATCATTGCATTGGATATAACAACAAAGGATTTACGAGAAATTCCTGGGCCACCTGATGATGATGATAATTGCATGAACTATGATCTGGGAGTGCTTGGAGGATTCCTTACTATAACTTCTTATTACAAACACAACTCCTTGGGTGAAGTTAAGATATGGAGGATGAGAGAATATGGAGTGAAGTCATCTTGGACCAAGTTGATATCTTTGTCAGGTCAAAGGAAGATCAGTTATATTTTGCCATTATGCTTCACCAAAGATGGGGAAATTCTTGCCGTAGATAGTGGTATAGGATTATCAAAATGGAGTGACGGCAGTGGAAACCTACTAGAATATCTTGAGTTCTGGGGTCGTCCACACAAATCCTGGGTTCAATATACTGAGACCATACATTCCCTCCCTTTGACAGCTAGTTTCCTCAGTACTTGACTTTCAGGTACTTTTGACATTCTTTACTTTTTATCTCTCGTGTTTATCGTTTTCTCTAACTAAAGTATATATTTACTATTTTAACATAGATTTTAATTTAGTTTTTTAACTTTTAAAAGCATACTTTTAGTTTTTTAACTTTTAAAAGCATAAGTTTTTGAATCTTAAAATTACTAATAAAAAATAATGATATTGAGGTCTTAAATATTAATAAAATATTCTTAAATGCTAACATTTTTAATTTAATTTTCAAATTAACCATAATTGTTACAAAAAAAAGTCATTTGAGCCTAATGATTTTAGAGTTGAATGATTAAAAATATTTTTTTAAAGTTAAGGGGTCAAATTAAAACTTTATATAAAATAAATGACTAAATATGTGCTTCATTTTTTTTCCTAAAACTAATTTACCTAACTTATGAAATATATATATATATGTATATGCTAATGTTATACACTTATACATAAGTATTTTATGGAGATTATGTTATATTTATTATAATTATTAATTTATTTGACTTACTTAATATATATAAATTCGTTAAATAGTTCTCTTATTAATAATAACAGCGATTAATAATGTCTTCTGTAAATAATTAAAAACATATTTTTTAAAGTTAATGGGTCAAATTAAAACTTTATATAAAGTAAATGACTAAATATATGCTTCATTTTTTTTATTTACCGAAGATGTAAGTAATGTTATGAACGAATTATTTCATTGTAAATAGAAGTTATCAATTACTACTATCATGTAAGGTGGGCCTTATGAGAAGTCGGTGCTGGCCTTCTGCATGACGCAGTACTAGCTACTTCTAATAGATCTACATGTACTCATCACTGGCTCCAAGGAGCCGGTTTTGCTTAATATCATCAATTTATTTTATTATTCATATTTATTATTTTTTTAAATTAATTTATCTAACTTATAATTAATATATCATCTAATATTACGTACGGGTATTTTCAAGAGGTCATATAGCATTTGTTACAAGTAGTTAATTTATCTCACTTCTTTAATTTATACAAATTAGTTAAATATATCTTTTGGAACACAATTCTAGTCCTAAAAAACTGATTATGTAATTTTTTTTTGTTGTTGTTGTTTTTTTTTTTTTTTTTCCTTTGGCTTTTGTAATAGCAGGACAGTTTAGCGGCCAGCCTTCATGCTCTTCATCTTCATCATGATGATGATGGTGGGATATAGATGGTGCTGGCCTCTATGAAGTACAGCTACTTCTAAGAGATCTACATGTACTCATCACTGGCTCCAAGGAGCCGGTTTTGCTTAATATCTCAATTTATTTTATTATTCATATTTATATTTATTTTTTTTAAATTAATTTATCTAACTTATAATTATATATCATCTAATATTACGTACGGGTATTTTCAAGAGGTCATATAGCATTTGTTACAATTAGTTAATTTATCTCACTTCTTTAATTTGTACACAATTAGTTAAATATATCTTTTGGAACCCAATTTCTAGTCCTAAAAAACTGATTGTAATTTTGTTTTGTTGTTGTGTTTTTTTTTTTGTTTTTTTTTTTCCTTTGGCTTTTGTAATAGCAGGACAGTTTAGCGGCCAGCCTTCATGCTCTTCAATCTTCATCATGATGATGATGGGGGATACATAATGGGCTCATTAATAGAGGGCGTGTTTGGAACAACTTATAAGTAGTTTATAAGTAATTTTTTAATAATAATTTATGAAATATGAGACAAGTATGTGAGAGAAGTTTTATCTCAATTTACGTGAAACATACTTATATGGATTTTTTAAGCCTTCCCAATAGGCCCAGAGCCGACAACTTTGTTGTACACAGAATGTCTTATTACTATTAGGATTCTTTTCTTGTACTTCTAATATATACGCTGAAGGAATAACATATCATAATTGTATATATTATGGTATTAGTCTCTTCAGAGACTTTTATTTTCTAGTTTTCTATGATTCTGCCTCTTTACATAATTAAATTTTAATCTTTTTGCAGCCATAATGCACGTTCATGCTAATATATAAATTTATCTACTACTGATTGAATTTAATTATCTGAGTTTTGACTTATAATAATTTAAAATTAAATTTGAATTGGATACTAAAGTTCATTCTCTAATTAACATTTTCATAATTCATGGGTTTGTTTAATTTCATGCAGAAGAGGAAATAATATTTCATTAAAAATAAGGAAAACGCCTTGATAATCAAGTTTAAACAGAAAAGGAGGAAAAAAAAAATCTAATCTTTTGTGCTATGTGTGTGTGTACAAAAGATTCTTTTCCCCTTCAGGCGGCTAGCTAAAGAATGGGGGAAAGGAATCCAAGTCTTTTCTTCATACGGAAGGAAATGATTTCCATGGTAACAGCAAGCTAGGAATCGACATACCATCGCTGTGAAAATAAAGGGGACCATAAATCAATCTCATCTTGTCGATCGAACTCCCATACAAAAACATAAACAAGTTCATCAGATTTTGTCAGGCTTTTAGCTTAAAGCTTATAGTAGAGGACCATGGCAACTGGAGGACAAAAATCAGTAGCCTCCATCCTCTTGGTACTGAACCTAGTTTTGTACTTCATTGTCACAGCAATTGCTTCCTGGGCAATGAACCACGGCATTCAAAGATCTCGTGAAACAGGTATTCATATATATAAGTTCTTCATATGTTCATATCACTCAAGAAAATCTTGCTGTTAAATAACTAACCCCACACACACACACACACACACACCCGCAGCTGTATTTCACAGAATTGCGATAAATGAGCCGCATTATTTATTGCTTATGAGCAATGTGTGTGAATCCATAAATTTTATTGCTTTATGCATTGATATAGGGAAAATTGCTGAAAAATCCCCCCACTGCAAAATTTTATTGTCCAAAGGTGTATCAGATTTGTTTAAGGATCATGCAGATGCAACTATCTTCAACAGGTGTAACCCTTCTTCAGTTGTACGCAGATGTACAAAAACAAAAGACATTTGCACGTAACTGAGAAGGAGTTACCCGCAGCTTAAAGACCTGAGTTCTTAAGTATTTTGCACAAAATTTTGCAAGGAGAGATTTTTTTCAGTAATTTTCCCATTGATATATATATATATATATATATTGATTTAAGTTTAATGGCTGGGTTGGATCGAGTAGAAAAGAATTGTGTTTTCCTTTGAGTAAAGTTACGTGTTTGAAATTTATTGATTGATGATAAAAAAAAAAAATAACAATGATGGTTATGGGAATGCAGCCTCAAATCTGTCGCCTCCAGTTCAGTTATTTCCAATATATTTCCCAATGGGGAATGCAGCAACTGGGGTGTTCATACTCTTCTCTCTGATTGCTGGTGTGGTGGGATTCACCACCTCACTGACAGGATTGCAGAATGTTTCCAGTTGGAGGGTCCCTAGCTTATATGCAGCAGCCACTTCTTCACTCACATCTTGGGCTCTCACTTTACTTGCCATGGGGTAATCATCACTCTTATCATTAAATCTCTCCTTTTATTCATCCAGTACTCACTCACCTGTTCATTAATTTCATCAATGCCTTTTATATATATGCTGCAGATTGGCTTTAAAGAGATTGAACTTGGCTGGACTGACTCAAACCTGGTAAGCATTTACTTCATCATCAATAATCTTGGCAAGAAATTAAAGATCTAGACTTGTTGGGCAGAGAGATACAACAAAGATTATATTGTGCATTAATTCTTGCAGCGCACTCTGGAGATTATCACAATAGTTGTGAGTGGAACACAAATGTTGTGCACTGGTGTGATCCATGCAGGGGTTTCCGGCTGATTCTAATTATAAGCTATACAGAATGATGATGGCATAGCAAGTCCTGCAAGATATTCCACAATATCAATCACAATTGTTTACACCTTTTCTTTTGTTCTTTTATTTTATGTCTGAGAGACAGTAACTATACATGGATTGTTAAATTGTAATTTGTTTGTGTGCATTTTCAGTTTTTCACTACCAGTCACTGCCATATTTCAGTTCATTTGTGTGTGCGCGCGCGCGTGTAATGAATCTGGAAAAAAAAAAAAAAAGATGATTGTGAGACAGAAGACACAACAGAAAAGCACTGTTCATGAAAATGATTCGTTGAGTGAAAAAGCAAATCATTGGGTACCATGAGATATTTAAGATGAACGTGAAAAAGGGGCATTCCGAGAATCGAACTCGGGACCTCTCGCACCCGAAGCGAGAATCATACCACTAGACCAAATGCCCAGTTGTTGTGTTTGGACTTTACAGACGTCTCAAGTATATGCATTATGCAGCGGCCATTCTTGTAATATTCATTTTTATTTTTTTTTGTCAAATAATAATTATTTAAATTTGACAAAATCACAAAAAAAGACAGTGAAATTAGAAAATTGTAAATTAGGACCCATGACGATATTAATATGGGTTTTAAAAATAATAATATGGATTTTGACAATAATTTTTACGAACTATTCTTGTGGGCAATTTTTTTAATTTCATGTTTTTTTTTTGCTATTTTCTTTTTAAATTTTCATCCCCCGTGCTTTTGTTATTTTTTATCCTTCAATCAAAATTTTTAAAGGAGCTCACATCAGACTTATATTCACAAGAGGTTGAACTCAACTAAGTGGTTAAGAAACATATGCTCAGAATCATTAATCCCAAGGTTATGAGCGGATGATAGTACTAAAGTCATAGCTTGTATAATTTTTGAATAATGTTCTCAACTAAAAAAATTGAATAATTGTTTTTGACCTATAGTTTTCTTTATTTGTTGTCGATGTTCACTTGTTCCTGGGACTAATTTTTGACTAAAAATTGAATAATTGTTTTTGAGCGTGACTAATTTCAAATCTTTGTTGGTTTAGAAAAGAAATATCAATAATCCGCCGGTTGAAGTTGTGCCGGCATTCCTGGGAAATCTCAGCCGCGGGCACAGGAACGCTAATAAGGAAGCATGAAGCATTGAAACTATGCATCGAAGCGTTCCCTGGAAAACAATCAATTGCACTACGAATCATAGAGTTTGTCAAATTGGATTATCGCGACAAACTTTATCTTCATTTCATTTCCCTCTCCTTTACAGTTTGACACTTACCCATGAACTGTAAGCATGGCGCTTTTCTTTTGGTCGCTTCCCCATCGACTATACCTCTAAATTCTGGTCCTAAGTCCGTAACTTTCCCAAAATTTGGCCCAACCCCCTGTGCATTCCTTCAGGCGAAGACGACCCTTTGGGTGGTGAAGAAGACGGGCCTTCAAATTAGAGCTTCAGCTGGTGATAATGGTGGCACAACAAATTGGTCTAAGTGGATACCACCACCAGCGCTCTCGCTGCTGATAAAGTTCTCAGATTGATTGCAGGTGCCACTGCTAGCCCAATTGGTCAGTACATAGCTTCACCCACCACGTTTCTCCATTCTATAGACCCCCGAATCAAATTGGTGAGTGAGTTCGAAATCAATTTAAGGTTTTTATTATAGGATCCTGGATTCTCGAGTTTTGTCAATGAATTGAGATGAAATTGTTTAAGGAAGCTCTTTGATTTTGAGGTTGCAATATTTTATTGGTGAATGGATAATAGCAGGTGCAAAATAATAGTTTAATTCCCTGTCATATACCTTTATATACTTGGCAATGACAACTAAGTATATTATTCCTGAGATTGCTAACATGGGTTTTTCCTTTTGTTTACTAAGAAAAGTATAGCTTTGGTTTGCTACTGCCCGGTGTAATTTGTGTTATCCTTAAAATGTCCTAGAAGTCGTTGATAGAGGGCAATGTAATTACCGAAATTAAAACATGAGCAAATTGATGAGCACACCAATTTCCATCCATTTCATAAAATAGGAAATGAGGATATGGTAATTATTTTTTATTAGCTGAGTTCTTGAATAAAGTTATTTGAACATGGTAATGAAGTTTTCTTTTATACAAGTTGGAGTGCTTTAGATATGGTCTATATATAAATGTTGAAGATTTCTCATTATCCATAAATCATGGTGGAATGATCAGCAATTGTTTGATATTACAGAATCTACTGTCTGGCTGTATTTTTTTGATTGTCTCCAATTTGTGCGCGCGCTTGCTTGCTTTTTTATAATTAAATCAGGCTACTTTTACAGGTATGGGTTTTGGCTTTGGTTGTTCTGCCAGCAAGATCACATATAGTCATGCGTCGCTTTGGATTAGTTATATATTTGACTCTGCTGTCAATTTCAACTCTGCCAAAAGACGTTTGGGTGGTAAGTAATTTGAAGCTATTGACTCATCTGGCTCAGGGGGTAGAGGTATTGGTTAGTCGTTATTAAGCCTTGATGCCCCTTAAAGTTATGCTGATGATAGAATCCTATCCAACTCAAGATTTTCACAACACATGCACAAACGTCATGGATGTGCCAAGTTCATTATGCCAGCTGAGGTGGTTGTCCTTAAGCCATGATGCCATATGCATATGTAGATGGCTTGTTTAATGCTTTATAAAATGTATATTTGGTGCGTTGTTCATCAATTTGAGGTCCACGGTGTTGTCAGATGCTCTACCTGATGTCCGCTGTTTTCCCCCCTTTGCCTTCACTAGTGGTATTTAGCCTGTCTTTCATATTCAACTATGCTCATAGTTGATTGCTTATTTCATGAAATAATTTAACCCATTTGAAATCTTACTTACTCTTAGTCCCTGAAGAAGGATGATCAAACTAGTATATTGTAAGTGAAGGACCTTTTGCACCAAGCACAACATTCCCCCTCCCCTCTTTTATCTCGTCACTGAGACTTGTTGACAAATTTATATTTGTTTCCATATTGGGATGATGTGCTAGTTAAAGAATTTCCTCATTCTACGATTGTGCAGGATCAATTGGCAAGAGTGTATTTACTCTCAGGATTGTTATTCATAATGTTAGGGCTTGGTTCAGATGGTGTACCCCCACTCGTCCAGTCAAGAACCCCACCTCCTGCCATGATGGGTCTTCCTAATCTTCCTGTATCTTTAAGAGGTTATTCTTATGTAATCATGAAGTTAGGTCCGCTAACCTTTACAAGGAAAGGCTTATCTGTTGCAAGCACCGCTGCATGTTTAACTTTCATTGTAAGGGACTTTCCTCACTTCTTCCTCTACTTTCTTTCACTTTTAAATCTTTGGCATTTAATTAAGGGAAAATCCCAAAAAGTGATAGCTGAATTTCAAAATTCCAAATCAGTATTCGTTACTATACTCATAAAGGAAATAACTACATTCAAAGAGCAAATGACAACCCATTTTATAGTAATTCCTGATTTGGCATTTTGAATTCAGTAGTCACTTTTTTGGGGTTTTCCTTTAATTAAAAGCTAGTACACATTTGTTTTGCACTTTATACAGAAGTCATGACTTGTGTGTGTATGAGAATTGGCTTTTTGTTCATTTGAAAGGTATTTCAAAGTGCGAGCCTCTGCCTTGCAACCACAACCCCAGAACAACTAGCATTTGCACTGCGATGGTTTTTGCTCCCTCTAAGACACATAGGCGTCTCTGTGTCAGAAATTGTGCTTACCCTTCTGCTCTCATTGAGATTCGTCAGTCTAGTTTTTGATGAGGTAAGAGAATAGCGAAGATTTCTGCATCAATATTATTTGATAATGTGAGGTTTAGTTTTTTAGCTTTCAATATCATGTTCCGTTCAGTTGGTGCAAAGGAACAGCATTTTTTACTTTTGATGTGGCAATTTTCTAAAGGATATATTATTAATAATCAACACTGATTTCATCGCATTGCAAGGAAAAGAGACTGAAATAATGCACAACAACAGCAGCTTCAATAGTTTCTAACTTGTAACCTAATTTGGCCAAACTCATGAATCGAATTTCCCTTCTTCCCCTATTTCGTTGCAGGTTCGGAATGTTGCTTTGGGGATTATATCTCGAAGGATAAATTGGAAACAGCTAACTGTTTTGGAGACAATTGATGGTAAGTAAATATTTATTGCTCTTGCTCTTGATTCCGGGCATCAGCAGACAATGGAAGGCATAGTACAGCTTTTTGCTGTTTTTTTTTCACATTACCAATTGATGGGTATCATCTAAAATTGTCTTGTTCATTAATCTTATTTAGATTCTCTAGACTTAACATTGATTCTTATAGAATGTCTATGCATAAGCAATTGATATGTAGGTATTGGATCATGATCTGATATCCTGAACTGAATGTTTGGAATAGTGTTCTATAGCATGTTACTATAATAATCTGTCAGGATTGATCCTGAATAAAATAGCTAAACTGAAGTCCATTTGTTCCTTTCTATTCGAACAACGTAGGTTAATGTTAAATCCAGTTTCAATTCACAACCTTTAAATGAATTAGCGAAGATACTTCTTCATTTTGATGATTGTTTTCCTTTCCTTTTTCCCTTCTGGGTTCATGACTACAGTTTTTTTTAACTACTTCCGGCGCATATTCAAAAATATCTTCAGCCATGCAGAGCAAATTTCTCAGGTTTGTCAAATTTGCATGGATCTGACCTCTTTTATCTCATTGCCCTCTTTCAATCTTGTTTAAACATCTTGAGCTTATCATATTTTTTAATTCATTCACCATTAATCTGTTTCAATCATCAACAACATCATCATTTAACCTTTTTATCTTTTTGTAATAGTTATTTTTAACTTGTCTCTGCTTTGTACAGATCCATGTCTTAAAAACTCTGAGCTGTATTATGTTTCTTTCAGTTCTAAGCTGCAAAAACAGTTTAAACATTTGCCCTGGTTGATTTCAACTAAGTTTGTTAAGGACCATGTTAGAAAATCTCATGTGTCCCTTATGTATTCAAGAGTTGCCTTCTGATAGCTCAACAAATAATTACTGCAGGCTATGATAGTCAGAGGTTTTTAAGGGGACAGTGGCTCTCATAAGATCTACTTCTTGTCTGAGTCATCTCTTCTGGCATGGCCGATTTCTTATCGCTGTTGTGTTTAACAGTTCTCATAGGAGCAGCCATCCTGTCTGAGCGCTACCTTGTCTAGGACAGGTATATACCTCTTTGGCATTTGTATAAAATGGAAATTTTATTTTTATACGCATGTGTGTGTGTATGCACAAGTCATTTTATTTCTCATTTTCTGGATTAGCAGGTGGAAAATGATGGGGTCTCTCTGTGTGACAGAAGACAGAGCCACCCTACTTAATTATATAGTTGCCCCGTGAGGATGTTAATTAAAGGGGCATGTTGATACAGAGGGGTAAAAAACTTTTAGACTATGAGAGAATTTGGATTAGCATTTTGGTTTCTGTTAGTTGAATTTATTCAATTATTTACTTGGTCTTTATGATAGTGTTTTTGAGCGTGTGCTTGCTCAACCTGTGTATTCAACATTTTACTCTCATGTTTAGCACAGGTGAAAGAATAAATACAAGTCAGTGCAACTTCCAGTCTTAAGTTTTAATTTACAATTTTAATGGTAAATTTATTTTTATATGAAAAATGGACAGTTAAATATATCTTTATATCTTTTTATTTTTTTATATATTAAAATAAAAAATTATTTAAAATAAGATTACATATATGAACTGCTCAAATTGAAATTAAATCTTTAAGAATCAACATTTAACTTATTCTAAGATGGGAGATAGTATATCATGCTATGGATATGGGAAGAGGAACAATTCATTTGGTGGAGCCAACACGTTGTTGACATGACCAGGTCCTTTTCGGCGCCGACGTATTGACAAAGTATTTTCCGGGAAAAAGCTGCGTATAACTCATTCTATAGCCTTCCAAATGAATACACACCCCAATAACCACAAGCTTCTATCTTTGGTCCAAATACAATAGCTCATACCCAGAACCGTGGAGAATCTTCCCGCAGAAGTTATATTGGAAATCCTTCTGCGCTTGCCCATCAAATCTCTCCTGCGTTTCAGGTGTGTCTCCAAGCCCTGGCTCTCTCTCATCTCTAGTCCCCATTTTTCGTAGATTTGCATTTTCAACACTCTTCCCTACACACCCATCGAATCTTTACTTTTATTCTTCAGAAACTCTCTCTTCCAAATTTCAATCTCTAGATCTCAATGCGCCCCTTCATGATGCTGCTTCTTTTGTAAGCCTCGGTTTTCCTCGTAGCTCACCATCCTATCAATTGCAGATTATGGGTTATTGCAGAGGGTTCTTGTTTCTAGAGCTTGATTCTGATTCTCAGCTTGTTATATGGAACCCTTCAAACCCGTGTCTGCAAAATATCCCACCAATTCCTTCTCACTTTCTGCATTTCTGTATGGCTTTGGTTATGATTCATTCACTGATGATTACTTAATAGTGTTAGCATTATACAACTCCAACAGTTCATCTGTTTCTGGTACAGAGATTCATATCTTCTCTGTGAGAACCAATTCATGGAAACAACTTGAGGGATGTTTCACATTTATCAGTCCAATCGATCGACCTGATCCTAGCACTGGTTCAGTGGCTGGTTCGACCTTAAACGGTGCTATTCATTGGTTGGCTTTGTGTGCTGAAGCGGGGCAAGCTTCATCACACGCAGCAATAATATCATTGGATTTAACAGAAAAGAGTTTACGAAACATGTGAATTGAAAGAACTTGGAGGATGTCTTAGTCTAATTGGAACGAATAATTCAAACCAAATTGAGATTTGGATGATGAGAGAATATGGGGTGGAATCATCTGGAGTATGCATATGTGCTTGTCTCTTGCTGATGAACTTCTGGCTTACTACATTTCACCAATATGCTTCACCAAGATGGTCAAGTTGTTGCAGTGTGTGGTACAAGTTTGATGAAGTTGGATGAGAAAGGAGAAGTAGCAGATGTTCTGGTCACGATTTGGATGGGTTTGATGCAGATGGAGTAGTTTATGCTGAGAGTCTTTTTTGCCTCCGCTGTGGTCAAGAGCAGAGCTTGGAACACTAGCTGTCTAGCTGTCCTCTAATCTTAATGTCGCATATAAGAAACTAAACTGGACTTAATTAGTTCTGTTGGTTTTTCTGCGCTTCTAATTCCTTTTTATGTGTACCAGATAAACCTTGGAAGTAATCAACAAGAAGGATTGGATAGAGATATATATATATATATATATATATATATATGATACTACCTCTTCTCCTTAACATAAGAATTACTTAATTAATTTGAATAAATTAAAAAAATTAGTTAAGCTAATTATTTGTAACAAATATGAGTTGATTTTTATAAAGTATCCTTTTTAATTATGACTACTTTTGAATTTCAACTCTCTTTATATGTGTAATCATTATGGATACTTTAGAAAATAAATTACAAATTTAGGAGACAAAATAAATTGAGATCTTATATTTAAAACCAAATTAATATTCAGATAATTTTTATTTAAGGACCAAAGGTAATAATATGTAAGATTAAGACTCTGTTTGAATTTTATTTTGATCTTAAATATAAGACCCCAATCCACTTTGTCTCCCATATTTATACATTTTTTTTTTTCAAAGTAGCCCTTCTAACAATGATTTTTCTAGTCAATACACTTAATAAGTAAGGATATTTTAGGAAAGACAACATTTATTTAGAACAAATAACTAACTCAATTTACTTTCTTAATCTCTTCAAATTAGTCAACCGGCTCTTATATTAGGATAGAAGGTAATAACAAATTTTACTTGAATATGTAAGATTCATTATATATGATTTATAAATAAATATTATACATGCCTTCATTTTCGCTTCTGCTCTGCGCTCTCTCTCTGAAAATTGAAACCCATTTCTAGGTTCCATTCATCTTCCCCGCAAGCAACAGAACTATTTTCCAGAGCGAGCGAACACTCTCTTACCTCCGGCTTCACTCTGTTCCCGAACCTTTGAGCTAGCCCCATCATGGTTCTGTTTCCAAGCTCTAAGTCTTTTCTTTTCCAAATTTCTTTAAGGAGGAATCGACTGAAACGATCGAGCGCTTTTTTTCGGTCAGCTTCACTCCATTCCAGAACAAGAAAAGCCGATTCCTCTCTCTCAGGTGCTGTCTCACACAAATTACGACGGGGAGAAAACAAGAAGCACCTTCCCGAAGAAGTGATAGTAGAGATTCTTCTTCGTTTGCCCCTGAAATCTCTCCTGCGTTTCAGGTGTGTTTCTAAGTCGTGGTTCCATCTCATTTCCGGTCTCCGTTTTGCGGAACTGCATTTACACGATCTTCCCAACACTCCTGTCGTGTCCTTGTGTCTGCTGCTGGGCAATTTCAATCCATAGATTTCAACGTTTCCTTTAATGACGATTCTGCTGTTGTAAAGCTCAATTTTCCCCGTCGTAGGACACCTGCTGATCTCGAGATCATGGGTTCTTGCCGAGGGTTTCTGTTTCTAGTTGTTAATAAAACACAAAAACTTTATCTATGGAATCCCTCCAATGGTGTCTGCAGAAAGATACCAGCATTGGATCCGGATATATTTGTATATATGTATGGCTTTGCTTACGATGAGTCCACTGATGACTACTTATTGGTTCTCGTATCAGAGGTCCTTGCTTTCTTCTCTATCAAAACCAAATCATGGGAAATACTTGCTGAGGATTGCCAATATACCTCTCAATGGGATGATGAGCCAACGGCTGGCTCGATCTTAAACGGTGCTATTCATTGGTTTGCCAAGCGTATTCAACAACCGCCACCTGAGTGTTTTTACAATCATTTCATTTGATATAATAACGAAGAATTTACGGGAGATACCTGCACCTGATGATTTTGAGTATGGTTTGGGTATTTTGGGAGTAGTTGAAGGATGCCTAACTCTAACTGAGAACCGTGATGTAATTAAGATGTGGGTGATGAGAGAATATGGAGTGAAGTCATTTTGGACTAAGCTGTATACAGTTTCTGCTTACGAGGCGCACATTGAAAGCATTTCACCATTATGCTCCACCAAAGATAGCCAACTTGTTGCCACAGACGGTACCTTAGGATTAGTAAAATTGAATGACAGAGGAGAACTGCTAGAACATCGGAAGTTTTATCCTTACCCAAGTTCGCTTGCGTGTGCAAGTGTATACACTGAAACTTTGCTCTCCCTCCCGTTAGCGTATGTGATTATTTGGAGAAGGCTCAAAGTGATAGTTACCGGTTGGGAGGATGAGGTACTTGATCCTCTACTTGTGTTGAGATGGAGTAATATTGAAAGTTGAAACCCAAAATCATGTAGACCGGCAAACATCATGATTACGGCAGTTTTGAAAATTTACCAAATGATGGAACTTTCAAGGACTGGAGGAAGTTTAATTGCTGCTAATACTATACGGTGATACTGTTAGAATATGGCTTGTTGGGATTACATGCATCCATCAATGCTAGTTAATGAATTATAAAAAGCACTTGATTATATGTGTATATATAGATGTTTTGCTATTGAAAAGCACTTTATTATGTTTAATTATGCTTTTTGTTAATTCTTGTCGTAGGAGACAGTACAGCAAATTGGCTCATGCTCTTCTCCATGATACACCGCAGCTTATAAAGGTTTGCCAGTGATGATGTAGTAGTTCTATTCAAGGTTTTTGGATGCTTTTGGATTGCTCCTTGTAATTAATAGGCTGATGGAATATCACAGTAGTGCACTCTCTTTTTGAAGAAACAGGATTCGTAGTTTGTTATGATTCTGTTTGCAGAGGAGCCGATCTGATCAATATAACGATGACATTTTCTACTGATGATTACATAAGAAAATCCATTCTAGGCCAAAGTATATCTTTCAGTGAAGATCAAATTTTAGGACTTAAAAATGATATTAATCTTTTTAAATATATTGAAAATTCGAAAAGGAAACGTCAATAAATATTTTGTTTATGGGCATGATTTTCAGTTCAAATCCTGAAAAATATTATCTTATCTCCTCCCCAAATCTGTTTTTAGAGGATCACCTATTATCTCAAATCACTACACATGCGCACACATATATTATGTGGTCACTTGTGCAGACAAATCACTACTGAAGGAAACCAGGGGCAAGCATGGAGAAGCTTCCTGAAGATTTGAAGATTGAAATACTTGTTCGCTTGCCTGTGAAATTCCTGACGCGATTAAGCGTGTCCAAGTCAGGTTCTGTTTGATATCTAGCCCTAATTTCTCCGAACTTCATTATCAGCGAACATCATCCCCAACAGCCATCGATTCCTTTACAAAATTGCTTCAGAAATTCGATCCATAGATATCAATTACACATCCTTTCATGATGATTCTGCTTCTGAAAGCTCCATTTCCCTCCTTCATCAACCTCATACTGATTTTCGTATTCTGGGTTCTTGTCGAGGCCTTGTGCTTCGCTTGCTCGAGACAGAACAGAAACTTTTCTCGTGGAATCCCTCCACCGGTTTCTGCAAACGCATCCCACCACATCCTCGTCTTTCGTGCAAATTTGTAGTTCCTTGTGGCTTTTGTTACGATGAATCCACTGATGATTACGTACTTCTGCTTGCCCATATGGTTCCTTCGGTTTATTTACAAGCTTTGAGGTTCTCTCTCAGAACCAATTCATCTGCAAAACTGCCTCTCAATTACCATCCTCATCGTACTAATAATGTACCTCCTCGTCTCCCTAGATGTGCAATCTTAGACGAAGTTCTTCATTTGTTAGTTTGGAACCCCACAGCGTCCCACAATGAAGCAAAAAATTTTGCATTCAATAACAACAAAGAGTCTTGGAGAAGTGGCCATGCCACCTGATGATATTTACTAAAATTTTGGGATTTAGGAGTACTTGAAGGGTGCCTTACTCTAATTGATTCCCAGTCTATCATTGAAGTGAAGGTATGGGTGATGAGACAACATGGGGAGAAAATATGGTGTTGGACTAAGTTATTTTCCGTGCGACATCATCATATAGCTATCAATTACTTTTATTCGCCATTATGCTTCAAAAAGATGGTCAACTTGTTGCGGAAGATAGTCATTTAGGATTATAAAAATGGAGTGATAGAGGAGAACTGCTTGAATATCGTAAATGTTATGATCCGCTAGAATTTCACAGATCTACAATTCTATATGCTGAAACTTCGCTTCCCTTTCCTTGAGACCACACTTGTGTATTTTGATCTGCAGATACTTCATGCTTCGTTAATTTTGTTCTATTTTGACTTCATTAATACAATTAATTATATATCATTCTGGTGGGATTTCAAATGCATCATTCTGCAAGAAGCTTATTTACGTATGGATAGATCTGATAAGTCAAATGTCTGAAAAGTGATTAAGAAACGCGTGGATTAGCGATATCGGATCTGTTGTTTCGTTAAAACTTGTTGCAGATTGCTAGTTGCGACATAGC